ATATGCTTTCAAGAATCTGATCCAAAGTCTGCTGGGCTAATGGAAAGTCTCCATTCTGAAATTCAGATTTTTGTGGGTCCCATAACTTCTGAATCAGACCATCAGCAACCGAGTAAGAATTTCCCTCTCAAACTTCATAGGACCAGGGGTTTTATTATCAGGGACAACAGCTTTTTATTACATTTAATGTGAAAATGCCAAGAACTGTTACATTAGAATTTTTCTGCACACTACATTAGTATTATTTAATTACTTGAAACCAAATTTTTAAAGTTGATTGATATAATCATATCTGTGTGTGAGTGATCTTTCCACATCTTACATGTATGTGAAGGTCTATGATTTTTGTTGTACAAAATCAATACTACATGTCTGATGTAAAATCATTATGAATTTAAGCAGTTTTCCAGGTCACTTGTGATTTTTTGAAAAACTGCATCTCTATCATTTGCTCTCCATCACGGCTGTAGCTCAAAGTTCTAGTTCCTGAGCTTCAAGGTATTTTCCTTGAGCCAGACACCCAGGTCCCACAAAAATTTCAGTGAGGATTAGGTATCAAACTAATTCAGATACTTTAAAGAGTCTTATGTGAACATTTAGGGCATTCAAAATAGAGATTAATGCATTTGAGTCCCCTCCTCTCCTTTTGTTACAGCTGATTTTAGCATACACATTTAACTTTCTAATTTCTAATTTAAAAGGAAAAATTTGGTTGAATGCACACATTATTTCAGCTGACAAATAAAGGCCTGTTCCATTCCTATGCTTTCTGCATTAGTAATGTGCATGCTCAGCTCTTGGTTTTTAAAATAAACAAAACATATTAAACATGCAAATAGAGTATTACATAAACTTTTTTTTTTTTTTTTAATTATGTGCTAGTGCTAAAAAGAGAAAAATGCTATGACACAGAAAGCAAATTAATTTTCTATTTTTAAAAAGGTAGGTTAAATAGCTGAACTATGAGCCACAGAAAGATGGATGCAGTACAAGCAGTTCAGAAAACTTATCTGACAGAAGGTCAGAAGAATATGTCTTCTGGTCCACTAATTAGCAATTAAGTGCCAATTTTTTTGTTTTGTTTTTGAAAAGAGCTGTGTCTTTGAACAGTAGAAAAGCATTTAGCAAATTACAGCATGTACGCTGGTGTAATTATTTAATACATTCATTAAAATGTTATTGCTGTTAAGACGCATTAGAAAGTCTTACTATCTTCCTGTGGTTGCAAAAGAGGCAGATAGTAAAACACTTAATAAAATTCCATGAGCAGTAGTTGCTGTTTCATGTCAGAGAGGTTTTTTCTAACTTGAAGTCAGTGATTTTCTCTGTGAGCTAGAAATGTTTCTCAGCACCTCGTAGTTAATGTTTTTACTTATACATTGTTTACTGTACTTAATGATCTTAAAACCAGGAGAGTCAACACCAAAATCACAACTTTTTTAGTGATAAGAGAAGACCTACAGATGCCAAATATTCACAGTCTAATGCATTAGCAATGAAATACCAACCACCCTCTCTGTTGCAACTCATTGAATGGTTTGTGATTTTGGGTACAGGTTAGGAAAGGAGGGGGAGAAAAGAATGAGGACATGTAGTATATTCCTTGGTATGCACACAAACACAATAAATGGAACTTGGAGATTTCAGGATGTTATTAGCCTATTGTAGACAGATTGCAGTTAATATATTTTCAGGTTGAAAACTATTTAAACCAATTTAAAATCAGTGTCTCTGAACTCCTGGCTAACTCCAACGTTCATGTTTAATACTTAATAGATCATGTGAGGAATCTCAGTCTCTTGATAGAATAGGTCTCTATAAGCTTAGGGCACAATAAAAACTGTATCAGTAGATAAATATGTGAAATACATATATTTCTTTG